TAATAGACCCCGGTTCTAATGACCCCAGTTCTAATAGGCTGGTTCTAATGACCCCAGTTCTAATAGACCCCAGTTCTAATAGACCCCAGTCCTAATAGACCCCAGTTCTAGTCAGACCCCCAGTTCTAATAGAAGTTCTAATAGACCCCAGTTCTAATAAACTGATCTGATAGACCCCAGTCTAATAGACCCTAGTTCTAATAGGCCCCAGTTCTAATAAACCCCAGTTCTAATAGACTGATTCTATTAGGCCCCAGTTCTGTGAATCCCAGTTCTAATAGACCCCAGTTCTAATAGACCCCAGTTCTAAGATATAAGCCCCAGTCCTGGGCCAGTTCTAATAGACCCTAGGTTCTAATAGACCCCAGTTCTAATAAGCCCAGTCTTAGACTGATCCCAATAGACCCCAGACCTAATAGACTGATCCTAATAGACCCAGTTCTAATAGTCCCCAGTTCTAATAAACCCCAGTCTATGGGCCCGATCTCATAGAGCCCGTCAATAGAGCCCAGTCCTAATAGACCCCAGTTCTAGACCCCCAGTCCTAATAGACCCCAGGTCCTGGCCATTTGAGTCCTAATGGGCCCCAGTTCTAATAGGCCCAGTCCTAATAGAGCCCCAGTTCTAATAGACTGGTTCTAATAGACCCCAGTTCTAATGACCCCAGTTCTAATAGACCCCGTCCTAATAGCGGCCGTTATCCAGTTCATAGACCCCAGTTCTAATGGGCCCCAGTTCTAATAGACCAGTCTAAAGACCCCAGTTCTAATAGACCCCAGTTCCATCAGAGCCCAGTCCTATGGAGCCCCCAGTTTATGGGCCCCAGTTCTAATAGACCCCAGTCCTGACTAGGGCCCCGGTTCTAATGGGCCCCAGTTCTATGAGCCCCAGTTCTAATGGGCCCCAGTCTAATAGACCCCAGTTCTAATAGATTGAGTCCTAATGACCCCAGTTCTAATAGACCCCAGTTCTAATAGACTGATTCTATGGGCCCAGTTCTATGGGCCCCAGTTCTAATGAATCCCCAGTTCTATAGCCAGTTTAATATACGGTTCTAATAGACCCAGTTAGTACAAGTACCACTAATTTACCAGAGACAGAATCCACCTTAATGGTCGTTAGGGTGAGGTTAAATTGGCTGACGAGGAATGTAAATCTGTCAAATCCAAGATGACCAATACGCACATACTGCTTTTATATCATAAACACAGTCACACATACCACATACTGCTTTAACCATCACACACACAGTCACCTGTGCATACTGCAACCATCATACACACAGTCACAATACGCACATACTGCAACTCTTCCATAACCATTAAATAAATAAATAAATAAAGTTCCTATTAAATAAACTCATATAAGTTTCTGGATAATAAATAAATAATTAACGAAAAATAAGTAATATTTTTATACTATACACATAAGTAATGTGATATTTTTCCTTATTTAACCACTCATTATTTAACCTAAAGTCATGACATAAATTAAAGATTACATCAAATTACATCATTAAATACGTCGCTGGTGGTTAAATAAAGGCAGAAATATTGGAAATCAGCAAAAATATAAAATATCACCAAGAGGCCATTGGAATAGAGTATTTTCCCCTTACTCGTCTCCGTTATGGCGGCGCTTAATGGTCACGTCGCCTCAGGAACGTAATAGGCGCCTAGATTGAGGCCCCATGCGTAACGACCGTAATAACCATAGCCATTAGACTGTTACAGGTAGTAGGGGTTTTAATAAAGCTCTTGGCTGACTCTGGGGTTCTCTCCTCTGAGGTTATGACGTCACGGATAATTATTACTTTTGACCAATAGGAGAGCGAGAAAATAACGTCATTCCTAAGAAATAATAATTCTTATTATTACATAACTATTTTAAATTACCTTTGAGCCTCTATTAAACTCTATATAATATTATAAGGTATTAATATAAAAATGATAGAACAATATGTGAGGAAGAGGCTGAAATTAATTGAAATTGTTGTTAATTATCAATTATGAAATCTATAAAACTGTTCAATTTATTCCAATTTGTATACTTTTAAGATTTATAAAGTTAATTTCTAGACTAATTTCGTGGAAATACTTCATTAAATACAAAAAAATAGAATTATTATACAGAATAACAATAATAAACTACATAAAATGAATAAATATACCGAACATAACGATTTTGGTTGTTTTAATGAACAAATAACAATAATAATACTAAAAGAATATATTATAAATTAACCATCATGACGTCACAGCCTCAACCTAGCCACTATTACAAAATCCAAAAATACAATTATTATTCTTATTTACAATAACAGTGTAATGGCTACGGTCATTAGCACGGCCATTAAATTACATATCTATTATTACGTTAGGATTTAATGGTGACTACCTGGCCCTAACATAACTACCTCCTGTATAATCACTTAACAATTAGACGTGTGTGTCTGTATGTACGTAATATGTGTGTATGTAAAATGTATATGAATGTGTGTGTGTGTAAGGTGTGTGTGTGTGTGTGTTGAACATGTACAGTAATTCACATCTGTTAAGTAACTTGAATACATTTTTCTAAGTACAGGTTTCCAAAGACTTCTGAAGCTCTACTACTACTATTATTACTGCAACGTCTACACTACTATCATAACTACCACCATTACTACTACCATTACTACCACCACAACCCACCATTTACTACCATACTACCACAACTACCACCATACTACTACCACAACTACCAACAACTACCACCTTAACTACCACCTTCACCACCACAACCACCATTACTACTAGCAATGACAAAAACAAAACATTAATATATTACATTTTATTACCACTAGTAAAATATTAATACTATTTATTAATTTATACAACTCAGGTTTAACTACAGTACATAACGTGTTATTGTGGGCGTGTCCTGCCGCTTGAAAACACCCTTGGCACCGCCCATTTTGATAGATCCACCCATTTTATTTATAGCTCCGCCATTTTTCATAGCTCCGCCCATTTTATTTATAGCTCCGCCCATTTTATTTATAGCTCCGCCCATTTTTCATAGCTCCTCCCATTCTAACGTAACTCCGCCCTCGTTAACAATGGGTAACAAATTTGATTGGGTGGGACGTGGAGGTGTGTCAATTTCAAGTGATTTGATTGGCTGTTGATTTAGTGGGCGGGGCAGTGAATCTCCTCAATGGCCTCCAAAAGTAGGATCGGCCTCCAGTGTTCATGGTCGGCCTCCAAGTGTTCATGGTCGGCCTCCAAGGTACGGTCGGCCTCCAAGTGGTCGGCCTCAAGTGTTCTGTGGTCGGCCTACAAGAGTTACTGGTCGGCCTCAAAGGTACGGTCGGCCTCCAAGTGTTCATGGTCGGCCTCCAAGGTGCGGTCGGCCTCCAAATGTTCTCGGCCTCAAGTGTTCATGGTCGGCTCCCAAGTGTTCATGGTCGGCCTCCAAATGTTTCTTGGTCGGCCTCCAAGTGTTCATGGTCGGCCTCAAGGGAATGGTCGGCCTCCAAGTGTTCATGGTCGGCCTAAGGTGGTCGGCCTCCAAGTGTTCATGGTCGGCCTACAGGAGACTGGTCGGCCTCCAAAGTGGCCTCCAGAGTGTTCATGGTCGGCCTCCAAGAGATAGGGTCGGCCTCCAACAACCTCAAAATATAAAAAACAAGAACAAGTACTATCCTCCACCATAAAGTGTATAAGGCACTTAAATAACTCAAGACACTTGCATGATTCTCAGGCACTTAAATAATTAAGACACTTACATGATTCCTAAGGCACTTAAATAATTAAGACACTTACATGATTCCTAAGGCACTTAAATAACCAGACACTTACGTGATTCCTAAGGCACTTAAATAACTCTTAAAGACACTTACATATACATTAAGTCATATATGCTACTTAAACAAAACATCACCGCTGAAGTTACTTAAATAAACCCTACAAACAACAGTTAAGTAAGACACTTATATTGAGGCACTTATTTAAAGCACTTTGGGGGCCTCTCACTTATATGAAGCACTTACAAAAGGCACTTATTTAAAGCTTGGGGGGCTCACTTATATGAAGCGCTTGGCTTATAACTCAACACTTATAAGTATCACCTTAAGTATTTCCAGGTGAACTGTAGTAAACTTATTGTCAACACACTTGTTTATATCACATAAGTTAAGCTCTCTGAGTGGCAATAAGTTAAGCTCTCTGAGTCTATAGGTTAAGCTCTCTGAGTGGCCCAACAAGTTAAGCTCTCTGGTGGCCCAAAGTTAAGCTCTCTGGTGGCCCTATATTAGCTCTCTGGTGGCCCAACAAGTTAAGCTCTCTGGTGGCCCAATAAGTTAAGCTCTCTGGTGGCCCTATAAGTTAAGCTCTCTGAGTGGCCCAATAAGTTAAGCTCTCTGAGTGGCTGGTAAACAAACTCTTTATCAACCTGTGTCCCAGCAGAGCCTAATAAAACATGAGCCTTATGGCGGGCCTTGTAGCCGTGAGCCTTGTAGCCGTGAGCCTTGGCCGTGAGCCTTGTAGCGTGAGGCTTGACGTGAGCCTTGGCGTGAGCCTTGGCCGTAGAGCCTGTGCGTGGGCCTTGAGCCTTATAGACGTGAGCCTTGTAGCCGTGAGCCTTGTAGCCGTGTGAGCCTTGTAGCCGTGAGCCTTGTAGCCGTGAGCCTTGTAGCCGTGAGCTGGCGTGAGCCTTATAGACGTGAGCCTTGTAGCCGTGAGCCTTGCCGTAAGCCTTGTAGCCGTGAGCCTTGTAGCCTTGTAGCCGTGAGCCTTATATGCGTGAGCCTTGTAGCCTTGTCGTGAGCCTTGTGAGCCGTGGGCCTTGTACGTGAGCCTTGTAGCCGTGCTTGGCCGTGAGCGCAGTAGCCGTGAGCAGCGCCGTGGGCCTTGTACCGTGAGCCTTGTAGCCTTGTAGCCGTGAGCCTTATAGCCGTGAGCCTTGTAGCCGTGAGCCTTATAGCCGTGAGCCTTGTGGCCTTTGGCCGTGAGCCTCATCTACAAGGTGAGTTTCAGTGAGTCTTTAGGTAACGCTGAGTCACTCTTCCCCGACGTAGATCCTCGTAGCGGTCCTAAGACTCTGTCCAGTAATGAAGTTGTTCCTCTTCCTGGCGTTTTGAACTTCCTGAACACCTCGTGGAAGGCCGTGGCCACCTGGAGGACGTGTTTGGACGCGCCACCTCGCTGAAGTAGCACTCCAGGTCCTTGGCCAGTATCTCACCTGTGTGGAGGAGGAGGTGTTAATGGTGAGAGAGAGAGAGAGAGAGAGAGAGAGAGAGAGAGAGAGAGAGAGAGAGAGAATGAGAGAGAAAGCCACTTGTTCATATTCCCTCCTGATGGTGTGTTGTTAGACCATTATAATGACCCCTCACACAACTATGACCCTTAAGGATCCACTAAGTAGTTTACTCTAAGTCTAAATTGCTCCAATGGATTATGTCATTTTTAATAGCATTTTATTGGCCCTGGAGCTTGTTGGCCCGTGCTTAATATATGGTGTTCGGCCTCTCTTCATTAAAGAAACATTGTCAACACAAACACCAAAGGGCTTTATGAGGGAGGAGGGAAGGAGGGAGGGAAGGAGGGAGGAGGGAAGGAAGGAAGGAAGGAGGGAGGGAAGGAGGAAGGAGGGTATTTGAGTGGCTAGTGACGTCACGTGATGGAGATGCTTAAAATAGTTGACCTTTACTCCCTCCTCCCTCCACTACCTCCCTCCACCACTCCCTCCTCCCTCTCCACTCACCACCCCTCCCTCCACTACCCTCCCTCCACTCACCTCCCTCCCTCCTCCCTCCACTACAAGGAGTGAGTCAGCAGATAAGGAGTATGAATTAGTAATATACTCAATACCTGACATCACCTGACATCACCTGACACTAGAGACATCACCTGACACCAGAGACATCACCTAACACTAGAGACATCACCTGACACTAGAGACATCACCTGACACTAGAGACATCACCTAACACTAGAGACATCACCTGACACTAGATACATCACCTGACATCACGTGTTTGTGTGATAACGTTTTCTCTGTAAGGTCAGGTCAGGTCACCACAGGTCAGGTCAGGTCAGGTCAGGTAAGAATGACTCACCTTCGTCAGTAGACACCTGCCTCAGGTGGACCATGTCAGCTTTATTAGCCAAGAGAACCATGGGTGGCCGGAGGCTGGGTGATACATCCCCACCCACGGTCATGGGCGGCGTGGGCGTGAGGGTGGCCGCCCCTCCTAGTCCTCCTCGCCCACTGGCCTTCCTCTCGCTGATGTGGAGTCGCATTTTCTGACCCAGCTGAAGCTTTGTCTGTCGGTAATAGGAGACACCAGCAGGAAGCCGTCGGCCCACCCGATGGTGTCTGACGAAGGGAGAGCTTCACTGTTCTGTCGGGAGTGATTGAGTGAGTGTCAGAACATATGATGAACTAACACACACACACACACACACACACACACAGAGAGGGACCTGACAACACAAGAGGTGAGTGAGTCAGAATAAATCACCTTCATAATAATAACTGTAGAGTGTGTCAGCCCCCCACATAGACAGTGTGTCAGCCCCCCACTATAGCCCCCCCACTAGTGTGTCAGCCCCCCACTAGTGTGTCAGCCCCCACTAGTGTGTCAGCCCCCACTAGTGTGCCCCACTAGTGTGTCAGCCCCCACTAGTGTGTCAGCCCCCCACTAGTGTGTCAGCCCCCACCAGTGTGTCAGCCCCCACTAGTGTGTCAGCCCCCACTAGTGTGTCAGCCCCCACTCAGTGTGTCAGCCCCCACTAGTGTGTCAGCCCCACTCAGTGTGTCAGCCCCCCACTAGTGTGTCAGCCCCCCACTCAGTGTGTCAGCCCCCCACTAGTGTGTCAGCCCCCACTAGTGTGTCAGCCCCCTCACTAGTGTCAGCCCCACTAGTGTGTCAGCCCCCACTAGTGTGTCAGCCCCCACTAGTGTGTCAGCCCCCACCAGTGTGTCAGCCCCCCACTCAGTGGTCAGCCCCCACTAGTGTCAGCCCCACTGTGTGTCAGCCCCACCAGTGTGTCAGCCCCACTAGTGTGTCAGCCCCCACGTGTCAGCCCCCACTCAGTGTGTCAGCCCCCACTCAGTGTGTCAGCCCCACTAGTGTGTCAGCCCCACCAGTGTCAGCCCCACTACAGCCCCCACTAGTGTGTCAGCCCCCACTAGTGTGTCAGCCCCCCCAGTGTGGTCAGCCCCACTAGTGTGTCAGCCCCCACTAGTGTGTCAGCCCCCACTAGTGTCAGCCCCCCACTAGTGTGTCAGCCCCCACTAGTGCAGTCAGCCCCCACTCAGTGTGTCAGCCCCCACTAGTGTGTCAGCCCCACCAGTGTGTCAGCCCCCACTGTGTGTCAGCCCCACTAGTGTGTCAGCCCCCACTAGTGTGTGTCAGCCCCCACTAGTGTGTCAGCCCCCACTAGTGTGTCAGCCCCACTCAGTGTCAGCCCCCACTAGTGTGTCAGCCCCCACTCAGTGTGTCAGCTCATGTGGTCAGCCCACCAGTGTGTCAGCCCCCCACTAGTGTGTCAGCCCCCACTAGTGTGTCAGCCCCCACTAGTGTCAGCCCCACCAGTGTGTCAGCCCCCACTAGTGTGTCAGCCCCACTGGTGTGTCAGCCCCACTAGTGTCAGCCCCCACTAGTGTGTCAGCCCCCACTAGTGTGTCAGCCCCACTCAGTGTGTCAGCCCCCACTAGTGTGTCAGCCCCCACTCAGTGTGTCAGCCCCCACTAGTGTGTCAGCCCCACTAGTGTGTCAGCCCCACTAGTGTGCCAGCCCCCCACTAGTGTGTCAGCCCCACTAGTGTGCAGCCCCCACTAGTGTGTCAGCCCACACTAGTGTGTCAGCCCCCACTCAGTGTGTCAGCCCCCCACTAGTGTGTAGCCCCCACAGTGCAGCCCCCACTAGTGTTAGCCACAAGTGTGTCAGCCCCCACTAGTGTCAGCCCCACTAGTGTGTCAGCCCCCACTAGTGCACTTCACTAGTGTGTCAGCCCCCACTAGTGTGTCAGCCCCCACCAGTGTGTCAGCCCCACTAGTGTGTCAGCCCCCACTAGTGTGTCAGCCCCCACCAGGTCAGCCCCCACTAGTGTGTCAGCCCCTCACTAGTGTGTCAGCCCCCACTCAGTCACTAGTGTGTCAGCCCCACCAGTGTGCTGCCCCCACTCAGTGCGCCCACACTAGTGTCAGCCCCCACTAGTGTGTCAGCCCCACTAGTGTGTCAGCCCCCACTAGTGTGTCAGCCCCACCAGTGTGTGCAGCCCCACAGTGTGTCAGCCCCCACTAGTGTGACAGCCCCCACTAGTGTCAGCCCCACTAGTGTCAGCCCCACTAGTGTGTCAGCCCCCACTAGTGTGTCAGCCCCCACCAGTGTGTCAGCCCACTAGTGTGTCAGCCCCCACTCAGTGTGTCAGCCCCCACTAGTGTCAGCCCCACTAGTGTGTCAGCCCCCACTAGTGTGTCAGCCCCCACTAGTGTGTCAGCCCCACTAGTGTGTCAGCCCACACTAGTGTGTCAGCCCCACCAGTGGTCAGCCCCCACTAGTGTGCAGCCTCACTCAGTGTGTCAGCCCCACTAGTGTGTCAGCCCCCACTAGTGTGTCAGCCCCCACCAGTGTGTCAGCCCCCACTAGTGTGTCAGCCCCCACTAGTGTGTAGCCCCCACCAGTGTGTCAGCCCCCACTAGTGTGTCAGCCCCACTAGTGTGTCAGCCCCCACTAGTGTGTCAGCCTCACTAGTGGCACAGCCCCCACTAGTGTGTCAGCCCCCACTAGTGTAGTCAGCCCCACTAGTGTGTCAGGCCCACCTAGTGCCCCTCACTAGTGTGTTTTATTTATACTGTAGCTGCCACCACCACGTCGGGGTGCGTGTCTGTCTGTCTCACATTCATTCCTCCTCCTTCTCCCTCTCAGCGGTAACCATTGATGTTTTAAGAGATCATCACTAACAGGTGTTGAGTGTCGCCTTTACTGCTCTGTATATTGTTGAAACTCTTGCCTTGTTGATGCTGTCAGCTTGATCTACACAAAGCATGGCCTTACCTCTAGCTTAGATAATGTGTATAAGGCATCTAGCTATTTCACCAGATTATGAGAGAGAGAGAGAGAGAGAGAGAGAGAGAGAGAGAGAGAGAGAGAGAGAGAGAGAGAGGCTCTGGTGTTCCTGACTTAAACTATAATATTGCCTTTGTGTACACCTCTATCACACACACACACATTAACCTTCCTACACGCACACACATCAGCTCCCACCCACACACACACACACACACACACACACACACACATCTCTTCTTCAGTGACTATATATAAACATTTCAGTATTAACTATAAACATGACAAGAGGAAAGGATGTTTATACCTGTACCTCACCTGTTGAATGTTGACCTGGGTATTTAGTACCTGTGTGATAGTGGTGATGGTACTACTACTACCACCACCACTACTACCACCACTACCACTACTAGGCAGACCTGACCTACTTTCCACAACAGGTTCAGGTAAACAATCGGTGGCTTCAGGTGAGTTTGTTTACATCTGGTGCAACAGGTGAGAATCAGTGTTACAACTACCACAATACCTACCACAATCCACCACAATACCCACCACAATACCTACCACAATACCTACCACAATACCTACACAATACCCACCACAATACCTACCACAATACCACCACAATACCTACCACTAATCCACCACAATCCTACCACAACCCACCACAACCCACCACAACCCACCACAAGTCCTAATCAAGAACCTCACATATAACAAGTTCATTAAGACTCATTTATTGCCCACACACCCACCTTGGCAAAGTGACCATAGAAAATTTTTATGATTGAGATGGCGTTAATGGCTCGTGTTTGTGTGGTAGTAATGTGAATTGATTGGGTTTTTATTAGGATGATGATAATGATTTAATAATAATAACTGTTCAGTCACCAAAACTTCTTCTTCCATCAATAGTTCATTAACGGTGTATGTAAATCCCACCATGTTTTTCACTACAACGGTACAGCAAAGTATAATTTTAGCATTAAACTGTTATTTTATTGTCTAATCACCACTACATATAACACCATCACTACAACCACCTACCACTACCACCACCACCACTACCACAACTACCACATACCTTGTTACAGGTGTCCAGTATCTCAAAAAGAACAGGTTCACCGTCCACCAAGATTTCATTCCTGTACCTCTGTTCTGTTGGGGAGAAATATTGTCTAAATGAACAAAATAACGCACTTCCACACACACACACACACACACACACACACACACACACACACACACACACACACACGGTTAAATACCCTAATCCATCTTGATATCACGGTCAATTTAACGACCCAATTAGCCATTACGAATACCACGGGTCGTCTGGTGGAATGAGAAGATGGTGGCTGTTTTGGCCAGAGACTCTAGTGTGACGAACTGGTGAGGAATTTGGTAGTTAGGGTGAGAGAGAGAGAGAGTCTTTCCCTCTGTCCTCACTGTTTTAAACACACATTGACACACACACACACAGATGGACTTACAATATCATCATAATATATTAGTAAACTGTTCGTGATTTAAGTGTGTTGATGAGTTAAGTGCGTGTGTTGATGTTAAGTGCGTGTGTTGATGTGTTAAGTGCGTGTGTTGATGTGTTAAGTGCGTGTGTTGATGAGTTATGCGTGTGTTGATAAGTTAAGTGCGTGTGTTGATGAGTTAACTAAGTGTATCTAACGCCAGGTGTTGATGGTAGGTGTACCTGTCAGGTGTGGGTATTAATTACCTGTGTGTGTGTGGGGGGTGGCTCTGTGTGTGTGTGGGGGGTGGTACCTCTCTGTGTGTGTGGGGTGTGGTACCTCTGTGTGTGTGTGGGGGGTGGTACCTCTGTGTGTGTGTTGGCATAGGTATCACTGTGGACCTGACACATAACACTTGACAGGCTCTGGGTGGCTTAACTTGGCTCTCTGGCTCTACGGGAGGGGTGGGGGTGGGGGTGGTGAGTGAGGGAAAAAATTAGATAGTTTGGTCACTTAATTAAGAATGCGAGATAATGTGTGTGTGTGTGTGTGTGTGTGTGTGTGTGTGTGTGTGTGTGGCCCACCTCTACCCACATGCCACACCCACCCACCCACCCATCTCTAGCCCCCTACCCCTATTGTAGGGGTGGACGGCACAAGGTAACCAGTGTTTTAGGTGTAGCCCAGAAAGACCGGACACCTAGCCCACTACACTGGCTAAATCGTTAAACTATTACTAGTACTATCACTACTACCACCACTACTACCACTACCACCACTACCACCACCACACACTTGGCAACTGTTCCGAGACACAAAAACTCCTTTACTTTAACAGGAAGAATGTGAGATAATGAACTCTCCCTCACTCTCTCACTCTCCTCTCACTCTTTCACTCTCTCACAGCATCAGTTAGGGAGAAAACTTAACATAAATCATTGAGAAATTAACAGTTAAATCAGTCACCCCTGTCATATGCCACAGTCAGTTACAGTCAGTTGGCACCGTGTATGACAACACACCATTGCCACCACCCCTAACGAGAGAGAGAGAGAGAGAGAGAGAGAGAGAGAGAGAGAGAGAGGGGCACACACACACACACTCTCTCCCACACACCTGAAGTAACGCCATCAATTTCAGGTGTGGAAGGTGTTAATAGGACATGTGTGTGACTGGTCCAATTAATGACCCCATATATCTGTTCAGTCATATATAATTAATGATATAGAGAGCCAGATATATAACTTATACGTACATACTGACGAACATACATAAATGTACATACAAACATACATAATGCTTCTCCTTACACAGACATACATACACACACATACAGACAGACATACACAGACAGACAGACAGTAGAGTGGTGATAGCAAGAAGCTGTGATAGTGCGGGGATAATGAGAGGCAGGCACCTGGGCATCATCAGCCTCCCGACACTTACCTGTTTTTATCACCTGTACATCACCTTAATTACGTGTGTGTGTGTGTGTGTGTGTGTGTGTGTAGGTATAAGTAATTGTGGTAGTTGTGGTTGTGGTAGATAATTACAGGTGTGTTTCATTAATTACCTTCACACACCTGTTATTGATGTTCTTACAGGTGCAATTATCTTACTCAAAGGGTTAAACTAACATCATTAAAGGGTTAAACCAGCATCATTAAAGGGTTAAACCAGCGTCATTAAAGGGTTAAACCAGCATCATTAAAGGGTTAAACTCAGTAGTGAAACCAAGTCGTAGTTGACTCACCTGCTTGATGATCGTATTCCCGATGTACCTCTTAGTGAGGAACCGAACGATGAGAGCTGAGGAGAGATGAGAGGAGAGAGAGAGATGAGAGAGATGAGAGAGATTACTGTGTGTCTGTGTGTGTGTGTGTGTGTGTGTGGCCACACACACACACAACGTAGGTTAAGTTCGGTTGATCTTAGATTAAATTAGTTTAGATTAAGAATGTACTCACAGGAGCCACTAGTACTCTTAACCCAACTACTAGTACTCTTAATAGTACTCAGGGAGCCACTAGTACTTTTAACCCAACTACTAGTACTCTTAATAGTACTCACAATAGCCACTAGTACTCTTAATAGTATCCCAATAGCCACAGTACTCCTAATAGTACCCAAATAGCCACTTAGTACTTTTAACCCAACTACTAGTACTTATAATAGTACTCACAGGAGCCACTAGTACTTTTAACCCAACTACTAGTACTTTAATAGTACCACAATAGCCACTAGTACTCTTAATAGTATTCCACAATAGCCACTAGTACTCCTAATAGTACCCACAATAGCTACTAGTACTCTTAATAGTACCCACAATAGCCACTAGTACACCCAATAGTACTTACCACTCTTGCCAACGCCCGGGCCTTAGTACGGCTATTTTCACCTCAGAAAGAGATGATTTTTCCTCCTGATTCTCTAATAGCGTTACTTGTCATCACCTGTGGAAGGAAAGTACCGGCGCTTAGTGTTTGGGAAAGTATCTAGTAAGGGTTTGTGAAAGTGTCTAGTAAGGGTTAGTGTTTGGGGAAGTATCTAGTAAGGGCTAGTGTTTGAGTACCTAGTAAGGGCTAGTGTTTGGGGAAAGTACCTATAGTGGCGTAGTGTTTGGGGAAAGCTAGAGAAATAAATTAGTGGCACTATCTAGGAGGAAAGTACACGTGTACCTGTAATTGTTCTACCATAATTATAAGTATATAATTATATACCTCACCTAATATCTCATTAATAACTCAGTGAGCTACAGGAGGCCTCACACTACAGGAGGCCCTCACACTACAGGAGGCCTCACACTCAGGAGGCCCTCACACTACAGAAGGCCCCACACTACAGGAGGCCTCACACTACAGGAGGCCCTCACACCAGGAAGGCCCTCACACTACAGGAGCCTCACACACAGGAGGCCCTCACACTACAGAAGGCCTCACACTACAGAGTCCCTCACACTACAGAAGGCCCTCACACTTCAGGAGGCCCTCACACCACAGAAGGCCTCACACTACAGGAGGGCCTCACACTACAGAAGGCCCTCACACTACAGGGAGGCCCCTCACTACAGAAGTTCACACTACAGGAGGCCTCACACTACAGGAGGCCCTCACACTACAGAAGGCCTCACAAGTCTTTAATTGGTAATAAGGTGAGTGGTTAGGTGAAAAGCAGTCACTGTGTGTGTGTGTGTGTGTGTGTGTGTGTACCAAAGATGGACTCTAAAAGGTACTCATGTCATAATAATAATAATAATAATATATTTTAAATATAGAGACAGAGACTTACTCAATATATTTAAGGACAATATATAAACTGAACCAGTATATCGCTATTATTCACTAAATGTCCGTAATTATTTCCTTATCAGTTCCTTATTTATTTTCAATTCTTTATTCACTAATTTATTCACGTTAGAGGAGCCACGACACGTACGGTTGTCATAGTGAGGGTAGGAAATTATATTTTTGGTGGTTTGTACCAACATGGTGAATGAGGTGTTGGTGAGTGTGTTGTGAGGGTGTTGTGTGAGTGGTGTGAGTGTGTTGTGTGAGGGTGTTGTGTGAGTGTGTTGTGTGAGGTGTTGTGTGAGTGTGTTGTGTGAGGGTGTTGTGTGAGTGTGTTGTGGAGTGTGTTGTGTGAGGTGTGTGTGAGTGTGTTGTGTTTTCTAAGTGCCTGCCGTTAGTTTAAGTGCCTGGCGTAAGTGTGTTGTGTATTTTCTAAGTGCCTGGCGTTAGTTCATGCCTGGCGTAGTTCAAGTGCCTGGCGTTATCTTTGAGTGCCTGAAGTTGACAACAATAAGTGCTTGGCGTAAACTGAATGATTGGCGTAACATATCAATGCCTGGCGTTAAATGTCAAGTGCCTGGCGTAAGATTTAAGTACTGGCGTAAGCTTTCAAGGCCTGTCGTAAGCTTTCAAATGCCTGGCGCTTTCGCCTGGCGTAAGCTTTCAAATGCCTGCGTAAGCTTTCGGCCTGGCGTAATAAATCACAGTCTGGCGTAACTCTGTAAGTGCCTGGCGATGTTACAAGCCCATTACACAACCGGTGCCTGGCGTTCAGACTCGCTCTTGGCACTGTATAGAGCGAGCTAACAGTGCCAGCCGCCCGTGAGTCTGGCACCCTACTGACTGGGGAGAGAGCCAGGCACCTCACCTCACCTTGCCCGCCTCACCCTGCCTCACCTCACCTCCCCCACCTCACCTGACTCACCTTGCCTCACCTCCACCCCACCTTGCCCCACCTCACCTCACCTCACCTCACCCATGCCACACCTCACTCACCTCACCATGCCACACCTCACCCCACCTCACCTCACCTCACCTCACCTCGACTCACCTGCCTCACCTCACCTTGCCCCACCTCACCTCACCTCACCCGACCACCTTGCCTCACCTCACCTCACCACCTTGCCTCACCTCACCTCACCTCACCTCCACCATGCCACATCTCACCCCACTCACCATGCCACACCTCACCTCACTCACTCACCTCACCTCACACCTCACCCTTGCCTCACACCACTTTGCCTCACCTCGCCTCACCTCACCTCACCTCACCATGCCTCACCTCACCACCTCACCTCACCTCACCTCACAGTATGTACATACGCCAATATACATAAACGTAGAGATAATTACTTAATAAACACAATAAATATAACATAAAGATAAAAAAGGTGATAAATGGAGGAATAAATAAGGAAATAAATAATGATGGCGTCTCTATATGGCCTGTAGGGACACTTACCTAGTTTTAACCTATTATTACCTATTGATCGTATTTTTAGGCTATATTATATGATTTAGTGGTTTATTATACTACTATGGTTGATTATACGTTAAATAGTAGTATAGTTAGTTACCTGTGTGTTGGAGGTCTGGCTTTGAAACTTCCGCCTTAATGACGTCTCTTCACCGCCGCCATTTTGGTTTATAGTCAAATCAAAAGCTATACTGATATTTCCAAGTTTATTATAATTATATTTAATTTTGCTTAATATTAATGTTTATTATTATGATTAATATTTATAATCATTTTTTAACGGTTATGTGTAGTTTATATTTTAGGAGCAATTTGTATTAATATGTGTAGCTCATTTGTACCTGGAGTCGTGTTGAATCAAAACATTGAAATTATATTCATACAAATATTAATTTCTGGATATTTATTTACGATATATTATTTAAATAGTCTTAAAATTAATAAAAACTTAAATAGTAGTTAAGAAAGTATTTATGAAATTTATTATCGTGATTTAGAGAAAAAAATATTAATACCGTATATAAATAATACTAATTTTGACATAATAATCACTGTTTTATATATAATTATTCTTCAATAATTATAAATATTAAAATAAAATACCAAAAATACTTAAATCTTGGATAATCTGAGAAAAATAAATATTATACCAATATATAAAATACTAAAAATCCTTCATAAAAATCATCAAAATAATTACCATAATAATAAAATAATAATAAAACTCAATAACTCCAGAAACTCAATAAAAAATAGATAAAATTAGAGGCAAAATTTATACACACTATCTCTGGCGGCCATTTTATGAGGGAAGGTGAAGGTAAGAAACGTTATAACAAATATTCCATTTTATTGTGTAATTATCGCCTCCTGAGCTCCATAACTGAGGTAATATTGGTATAATAATATATAGAGTAATTCAGTGAGATATTAGACCATAAATATTAATGTTATTGTTTATATTAATGTTTGAAGGATAACGGCAGTAAAGTCAATGGGGTCGTCTTGTTTTACTCTCTATTTCCTTATTTATCGGGTATTTTAAGGTTATTTATGGTGATTATTGGCTTTTTTATGTCTATATAGCCGTCTGTAGTGGAGATCTTAGTTAGTTTGGTTGTTAATTATGTCATTAGTATCAGTAATGGGGCCGCCTTATTTAACCTCTCTAGTTCATTATTTATCAAGTATTTTAAGTTAATTTATCTCATTTTATCAATAATTCTCAGTATTTCATCAGTCTGTAGTGAAGAGATCTTAGTTAGTTTGGTGTTAATTATGTTAATAGTATCGTAATAGCCGCCTTATTTAACCCTCTAGTTCATTATTTATCAAGTATTTTAAGTTAATTTATCTCATTTTATCAATAATTCTCAATATTTCATCAGTCTGTAGTGAAGATCTAGTTAGTTTGGTGTTAATTATGTCATTAGTATCAGTAATGGGGCCGTCTTATTTAACCCTAGTTCATTATTTATCAAGTATTTTAAGTTAATTTATCTCATTTTATCAATAATTCTCAATATTTCATCAGTCTGTAGTGAAGATCTAGTTAGTTTGGTGTTAATTATGTTATTAGTATCAGTAAGGGGTCGCCTTATTTAACCCTCTAGTTCATTATTTATCAAGTATTTTAAGTTAATTTCTCATTTTATCAATAATTCTCAGTATTTCATCAGTCTGTAGTGAAGATCTTAGTTAGTTTGGTGTTAATTATGTCATTGGTATCAGTAATGGGGTGCCTTATTTAACCCTCTAGTTCATTATTTATCAAGTATTTTAAGTTAATTTCTCTCATTTTATCAATAATTCTCAATATTTCATCAGTCTGTAGTAGAGATCTTAGTTAGTTTGGTGTTAATTATGTTATTAGTATCAGTAATGGGGCCGCCTATTTAACCCTCTAGTTCATTATTTATCAAGTATTTTAAGTTAATTTATTTCATTTTATCAATAATTCTCACTATTTCATCAGTCTGTAGTGAAGATCTTAGTTAGTTTGGTGTTAATTATGTTAATAGTATCAGTAATGGGGCCCTTATTTAACCCTCTAGTTCATTATTTATCAAGTATTTTTAAGTTAATTTATCTCATTTTATCAATAATTCTCAATATTTCATCAGTCTGTAGTGAAGATCTTAGTTAGTTTGGTGTTAATTATGTTAATAGTATCAGTAATGGGGCCTCCTTATTTAACCCTCTAGTTCATTATTTATCGATATTTTAAGTTAATTTATCTCATTTTATCAATAATTCTGAGTCTATGAACAATAATTAGTGGATTAATTCATTTAGTTGTATATTAAATGTAAGAAATCATACCTGGTGTTATGGTGTTGATAGTTAACCATTTATTGGACTATTTTATGGTGATTAGACTGTTAATTATGGTGGTTTATTATTGTTATTTATATTATTTAATTATTTTATCAATTTATTCTTATTTAATTATTTCTTTATCAATTTATTCTTATTTAATTATTTATTTATTTTTTAAATTTAATATGCCTTTTAAAATCTCCTAAATGAGTAGGTTAGGTAGCTTGAGTTAGCATTAAGTTAGCAATGTTAATTTAGGTTAATTTAAGTTCAATTAGATAGTTTAAGTTAGGTTAGGTTAGATTAGATTGGGTTAGGTTGTCAAGGTTGACTTAAGTTAGGTTAAATATCTTGAGTTAGTGTTAGGTTAAGTCAGCAAGGTTGACTTAAGTTAGGTTAAATATCTTGAGTTATGTTAGGTTAAGTCAGCAAGGTTGACTTGTAGGTTAAATATCTTGAGTTCAGGTTAGGTTAAGTCAGCAAGGTTGACTTAAGTTAGGTTAAATATCTTGAGTTAGGTGTTAGGTTAAGTCAGCAAGGTTGACTTAAGTTAGGTTAAATATCTTGAGTTAGTGTTAGGTTGTCAGCAAGGTTGACTTAAGAAGTTAAATATCTTGAGTTAGTGTTAGGTTAAGTTTTGGAGAATACCTCAGAATTTATATAGACGTTTTATAAACTATTATATTATGGCTTAAACAGATCAGGAACACCAAACACTCTTACAGTTCTCGGGGAACACGAGAATAACGCATCTTGACGTTGGTCGCTTGCCTACTTTAGCGTCCGTGGTTCGTTGTCCAGCAGTTAAGGGTTGAAAAAATTAGCTGTACCTGAAAATTATGGGTTTTGCCACACAGCCTCAACATTGCTAAAGCTGCCTCCCCAAAGCTGTGAATGGTGTACAGATGCGTAGCTACTTCACCCCTGAGTGAACAGGATAAAGAATGAGAGTTTGTAGAACATCCAGATCCCACATTATATACTGGAATGCCCATTGCTTAATATACCCATATAAATAATGTCCCCATGCAAATAGAGTGGATGTTTGGAAATGGGAAAATAGATGAAATATTAAAGAAATATAGAAATATTGCATCTAGAATATAACTATGTATTATAACTAATTATATGAAATATTAGTGATTTATGTGAGTCCTGAGAGGGACATTCCTGGACTGGAATAAGGATGACTTATGTCACTTCATCCCTTTGAGATGTATTAATGTTTTATTGTATCTCAATAAACGTATCAATCAATCAATCAATCATCCCTGAGCTGTTGTTTCAAATATACATCTCCCCGACTTACGACGGGGTTAGGGACCCAAATCCAGGTCAGAAGTCGAAAATGCTTAAATAATACATAGAAAATCTAAAATGAGGCCTTTTTCTTCTCAGCACCACAAAACTCTCACTTTAATATTTGGTTAGATTAGGTTAAGTTAGGTAGATTAGTGTTAGGTTAAATTAAGTAGTAGATTAGTGAGTTAAGTAGTTAGGGTAGATTAGTGTTAGGTTGTTAGATTAGTGTTAGGTTGTTAATCACAGGTGAAATAAACCAGGTTAGGTATATCATCAGGTGTTAATTAAATACCTTCCTTCAGGTGTGAGTGATTTAGTGTACCTGAGAACAAGCCAGTCTAAGATGAGTGACTGTGGAGGAGAAGACTGGCAAGAAGAGACTGTTGGAAGAACCACATGATGTTGAGGAAGGTGAGTTATTAACTGTTGGTGACTGTATTTAACTGTTAATTAACTGTATTTAACTGTTGGTGACTGTACTTAGCTGTTAATTAACTGTATTTAACTGTTGGTAACTGTACAGTATAGTCTCGGTTACTCGGGTCAATTAAACCTGGCCGACGCCTGCATAAAACGAGAAAGCGCGTAAATGAAATAACAGAACATATGGGATTAATTGAAAGACAGACTGGGCCGACCCCCAAACTCCATTTTTCCAACACAATACTGTAATGCTAGTCAAAATAACATCTTAATTTTATGATGGTATGCACAATTAATTAAAAAGAGAAATATCAATATTAGGTTTTTTAACACTTACGTTAGTAGAAGATGGCCGGGCACAGGATGGGGGGGGTTATACCGAGGCAGAGGGCGATTATTGGCCCTCACCTGTATCACTGTCCACCACAGAGGCTTGCAGGGCCTCCACATATTACAATATTTTATTTATTTGTTTATTCATTTGGATTATTTATATTTTCATTTTTAAAATTCTGTTTGTCACTTTTGTGTGTGTGTGTGTGTGTGTGTGTGTGTGTTGGGAATTTGTACACTAGCAATAAATATACAGTTAATTAAAAAATTTCAATGTTCTAATTTCCTCAATATAACTGCATATGGCTTCAAAATTCTCCAAAGAAGTGTTCAAATTTCAAAATTTTCCGGGGTTTACAGCGCCCCGAACTCCCAGATGTTTAGGCTCACTTCACTGCCACCCCACCCTCTTGAGTAGTTATTATAATGAGGGGGTCTCCACAAAGAGACTGCCCACGGGCCTCCACAGGACTAACCGCACTGCTCAAAGTCCATATCCTCACTATCACTGACCTGGGCGGCTGTGGCGGTGGCGGGTGAAGAACCTCGTAATGTTTTGTTGACTGGGTGACCAGGCGCACTCTGCCCGCGCCGCTCAGAATGACGGAATGAACCGTGGAACTAATATTTGCGGTCTGGCCAGGTGCCGTGTAAAGGACCAAACGCGTAAAGGAAATCCGTGAATCGAGACTATACTGTAGTTAACTGTGAACAAGGCCATTAAGTGGAGACAAGAGGGCCAGGAGTCAGTTTACACTATAGCTCCTATATCATCACCTATAGTGTGTTTAAGACTAGTCTGTAACTATCACTCCCTTGTATAACACCAAGTGCTATGTTAGCATATGGACCCATGTACTATATTAACCAGACAGTTAACTGACCGGTAATACGGCAGTTAACTGTAATAATATTAAATTATTTATTTCATCAATTAATTGGATTGTTAATTTTATTTTTATAATTATATATTTAACTATATTGAACGACATATTGAACTACATATATTGAACGACATACAGTATAGTTGACTACATATATATAATTATATATATTTAACTACTTATATATAATTATATATATTTAACTACTTATATATAATTATATATATTTAACCACAGGTAGAAGTAAAGGCTCCAAGGAAGCTAAACTGGATAAAGCGTCCGAGGTGCCTCCATTAACCCCCAGTCTAACGGTCCTTACGCTAACCGCTGACGACTGGAGCCAACAGGAGTCGTCGCCGATCCAGTCTAAAGATGCGTACTCTAGGGTGTCGGCCACGGAGGAGAACGACGATGGTTCGGTCAGCTGTGGGGTCATGTGGAGAGGTGATTCAGACACCAGGGAGCCGTATCTGTCGTTATCACAGGTGTGTTGTGAGGTATTCTGGGGGGGGGGGGGGTATTAATGATGATATTTGGTAACTTGTTCCATTCATCCACTACTCTATTTCCAAACCAGTGTTTACCTATTTCACGCCTAAATCTAAATTTGTCTAGTCTAAAACTATTGTTACGAGTTCGCTCCTGGTTGGATAGCTTGAGTACCTTTGTTATGTCCCCTTTGTTTAGCCCTGACTTCCATTTATGCACCTCTATCATATCGCCCCTCACTCTACGTCTCTCGAGGGAGTGTGAATTATGATGCTTTAACCTGTCTCTGTACTCAAGGTTCCTAATGCCCAGGATTAGTCTTGTCATTCTCCTCTGAATTCTTTCCAAGGATTCTATATCCTTCTGTAATACGGTGACCAGAATTGAACTGCGTAATCCAGGTGAGGTCTCACAAGCGCAAGATATAGTTTTAGGACGACCTCACTAGTCTTGTAACTAACACTTCTTTGTATGACCCCAAGTACTTTATTAGCCTTGTTACGAGCAAATACACATTATTTACTTGGCTTAAGATTCCTACTTATCATTACTCCTAAATCCTTCTCGCAGTTGGATTTCTCAATAACATCGTTGTTCATGTGGTATCTGGTTTCCCTGTCAAGCCTGCCGTTGACACCAACTGCCCTTGACAACCATTCATTGCCAACTCTCCTTCTAGGCAGGACACCACATATGATAGGGATCCCTTCCTTAGACCTAACACGTCCTACAGCTGTGTTGAACTTATCAAGAAGCTCCTCACTCTTACACCGGCCAGTATCATCACTGAGGCAGGTAATGCGTTTGTTCCCATTACCAGAAAAGATATTGTTCCTCCTGTCAACTATATCCCCAGCTCCTGGCAAATACAACCTCAACCTATTTTTATTTCTACCACAAATATCTTTGTCCAGGTACCGTACCTGGGAATGTGCCAACAATTAAGGTTTTCGCACCTTCCCCCTGACCCTGACTATGGTAACGTGTACCTTCCCCCTCGGCCCTGACCCTGACTATGGTAACGGTACCTTCCTGACCCTGACTATGGTAACGTACCGCCCTGACCCTGACTATGGTAACGTGTACCTTCCCCCTCGGCCCTGACCCTGACTATTCGTCTATCAAAGGACTGAGAGAATTTTGACACTTAGCTGTTGTTGTTTCATTGGTGTCTTTTCTCACCACCAGTTTAGTCGTTCCTCTCAACCTTCCCTTCACCTCAGTCTTCATCACACTTTCCTTGTCTCATGTCTTCCTCCTCTCTATCATTTCCTTTAATCTCAAGTTTTCTTCCTTGACTTTCACTAACTCGGCCAGTAGCTCGGCCTTGTTTACAACTGGCCATTACTGACAATTTATCCCCAGGAGCTAAGTCTGCCGTGATCTTTACTCCAGTGAGGTCAGGTTAGGTTAGGTTAGCATCAGGTTAGGTTAGGTTAGCATTAGGTTAGGTTAGCATCAGGTTAGGTTAGCATCAGGTTAGGTCAGCATCAGGTTAGGTACAATAAACTAGGGTGTCTAATCTTCACCTCCTCTGGCCATAGGTGTGTCTGTTCTGCCGTAGAGAATCAAACGGCAAGAAATTTGACTGTGGGACCCAGACCTACCACTTCTCTCAACCAGTTACTGACAGTCCAGAGCCGACAGACAGTCAGGCACAGTCCAAAGAAACTGCACTAGCCAGTCTAAACCTTAAGACAGTTATTCAGGTGAGATAAATGACTGTTATCTTCAGGTGAGCACTTGGGGTCAAGGCTGGCAGTACGGTAAGGTTGATATTTAGTCAGAATGTACGGTACGGAATTATGGTACAATATTTTCCTTGAAGTACGGTACGGTACGATTTAGGTACGGAAAAATGAGCAAAATTCCGTACCATACCCCAGGCTTAAAAACATGATCATGCACTTATTAACCCCTTGAGGATTGTGACGTATTTTGACACTTTATTCTGGCTATCATTAGACACTTTTATGCAGCTTAGGAAGGATTTGTGGGAATAAACAGTATAGACTAGCTGAATTAGCCATCTGTGTATTGTCTTTCATATACCCTTCCTAAATTGAATAAAATTATCTAATAATAGTCAGAAAAGAGAAAAGAAATGTGTCATCGATCTTCAAAGGGTTAATGTGGCTTGATCAGTACCGTCCGCCTGCTGGTAGTGTCGGTACTGATCACGTTGCGTCACGCCAACTGTTCACGTATAACTTGAGAGTATTGTCTCCAACTCTCCACAGTCACTCCTGCCATTGTTGGGATGGAGCAGTCATCCTCTGAGGCAGGAAGGGGCACTTTACCTAATATTATTGATATTTTTATTATTATTATAAAAATTATTCTTATTACAATTTAATATTTTTCTGGCTGTAGGCTGATACAATTTATCTTCAGTGTCCAGTCACAGCACATTTACATCTATAGTCACTTCGTAAATGTTCCTTTTAAAATCCACACATGTACTGTACTCTAATAATTTGTTCACAAATAAAGAATTATTTTAATGTAAATATATTTTGCTGATGGTACGATAAAAGTACAGAATTTCGGTACGGTATTTTAGCCAGGTACGGAGTACGGAAAAATATTCCGTACCGTACCGCACTACCAGCCTTGCTTGGGGGGTAATCTTCAGGTGAGCGCTTGGGGGTTAATCTTCAGGTGAGCACTTGGGGGTTAATCTTCAGGTGAGCACTTGGGGGTTAATCTTCAGGTGAGCACTTGGAGGTTAATCTTCAGGTGAGCACTTGGGGGTTAATCTTCAGGTGAGCACTTGGGGGTTAATCTTCAGGTGAACACTTGGGGGTTAATTTTCAGGTGAACATTAAATAATAAACAAACCCTTTAATATTTATCGACAATTAAATTTTTTATCGGACAGAAAAGAGGCAGTCAGTCATTGGTTTGTTGCGTACCTGATTGTGCGACGCGATTGGACGAGAGGGAGTGTACAGCCTCGTTTTACACCATCCCCAGTGACGAGGCTCAGAGGCTCTTGTGGTTGGAGGCTCTCGACATCAACCTGTAAGTCACTGTTTATTGTATTTCATTTTCCGACATTAATTTGATTACATTGGTGCAGGTAATTGGTGTGGTGTAACGACCCTTAACTACCACCAGACCCCATACTAATAATAAAGGTGTTCTGTCCCCCCCAGACAGGAGCCAGAGAAGACTCTACACGTCTGTGGTCAACACTTTATCATCCCCAAGAGATTACCAACAGCAAAAGCCAGGACCAGGAAGAAGAAAACATGTGATATGGTGGGTGTGGGGGTGTGTGTGGGTGGGTGTGGGTGTGTGGGTGGGGGTGTGTGTGTGTGGGTGTGGGTGTGTGATTGATTTTGCCTCTTACAGCGGCTACTTTATTGTGCACCCCACACTCATCCTGTGAGCGGTAGAGCAAAAGGATTACAGAGTAGAGTTTACAAAGGGTCATAATAATTAACACCCGTTGTCAGGATATTATGGCACTGAATGTTACACAGTATTTCAATTACATTAATTGTTTAGTTCTATACATAAAGGGTAACTTATTCACAAATGCGTGAGTACAGGCGTGTGAGGCAGTATGTCTGGCCTCACACTTTGTTATTCACATTTACGTAAAAAGTATTCAAGCACATTGTGTATTTGGTTCTGTACATGAGAACTGATATAGTGGATATGGCAACCCTGGGTATAGGCCTTGCCTCTCGGGCAAGTGCTCAACCCACATGTTAGTTCACTTGTTATACAGGCAACACAGTTGTTGACCTATCGGTTAAGGCCAAGTGATAGGAAGAACACCTAATGTTACCCTGTGAGAATCCTCCACCTTAATGTGTGAGGGACCACCGTAAGGATCACAGGTGGTCCACGCCTCACACAACCTTGCTCACAAACACAAGCTGAGGGGTAAACCATAGTGACAGTGCAAGAAGTAGGGTTGACTGGGAGTGAACACACTGGTTGATTACAAGTTATTGATAATTTTTACAATGGTTGGGACTGGGCTGTTCTTATAGCGATCAGTTCGTGTGTAACGACCACGGTCGTACACGTCAGTTAACGCCAAAATCAAATGATTCATATTACGCTCAATAGCCCACAAAACATGTACCTCTGCTTTTATTTTGAGTCCTCCATCTGAGGAGTCCGTTTTCTCATCACTTCAAGACGCCTCAGTCCTCCGTTATCCCATTTTCTCTGACTTACTGAAACCAACCTCTCTATATAATGAATTTGAATGTGAGAGAGAACACCCTTGTTTTGAGTCAACTTAGATATGTCTGTTTACAGTTGGAACATTCAAGATCCAGTGTGAGTGGTGTTGAACGCTTCAACTGTCCTTATTGTTAGTAAGACGTGTCAAGTAAGCGAGTGTTGAGTTTGCCAGTTAGAGTGGCGTATTTTAGGTCGTCCGTGGGGATATCCATGGGTTTCTGATCGCTACTGAAGTTATATTGTTTTGTCGCCCCGACATCAGAGAATCTGATGTTCATAGTTTAGTTAGTGTCAGTTGTCTATTTAAGAAAGTCATTCATCTTCTGAACAGTTCCTGTCAAACTCAAAATTCTCCCAGATTTAACGGCCGTTTGACCGGGGATGTGGTTTGCGGTCAGGTCAATAGAGTTGCGAACGCATATATAACTTCAATTCACCTCTTTACTGACAAACTCAATCTCTGATTAAATCACAAATATAGATGTAGAAAATTAGCCTGATCTGTGACACTGACGGTCACAGCTAGGTGTCCAACGACTACTGTGAATAGAGGGTCTATTGTTAGTGAAATTTATCTTTCTAGTAGGAATATGCCCTCAGGCCCGTATATATGCAGGCGCGCGAGGGGAAATCACTCCTTCTGTGATTTCTCCTCCATGTCTCCAGGTATGTTCACGTGTGTTCCACGCCGCCATATTAACTCAGTTTAACTTAGTCATTTTTTTTTAATATCAGTGTTCATGTTTTAACATAGTACCTTCAGTGCCAAGTGAGTCAAGTAAAGTAGAGGTCTAGCTTTCGTCTGAACCGGTGCCAGACGTATGTTTTGTATAGTGAAGTTAAATATTCACTCCTTCTGTGATTTCTCCTCCACGTCTCCAGACGCGGATGTGTTAGCCACTCTCCTGAGGGTCGATAGCTACCTATGGGCAAGATGGTTCTTGAAGACTGTCTCTAAGGGGGCGCATTTAGAATCCCAGGACACGATTCCCCCGGGAAGCGCCCTCACCACTCTGCCAGTGTGTAACGAGTCAACCTCCCTGAGTGCACCTAGGGAGCGAGCCTTCAGCTTGGCGGTCGCTGTAAACAACTGTGCCCGCTGACTCCACCTGGAGATTGTACTTCATCTATTGCATGGAGCAGTGTCGGCCCATGTTTGGAGGGATAACTAGCAGAAATATAGTATCCCGGGCTAAGTATTGAACCCCTGAATGAGAGTTCAAGGTACCAGGTGGTTCCTTGTGAAGTGATAAGAAATATTGTATGTTACTAATTGTGGAATTGCCCAGTGTGTTATGTATTCATCTGTAGTACCCATGAAAGAATAACCTGAGAGTATCAGGCTCTAATCAAGAAGTGGACCCATTTGTAGATGGTACCTTTGCGGGCGGCCGATCTCCTAGCCACCCTAGGGTCCACGGTATTTCATCCCCTAGATCTAAATATCATAGGGGCTCGCCTTTGTTGGGTCCTAAAGATGTTCCGTGGTTGACCTTAGACGAGTTAGTAGGGTTGGAAGCTCAAGAAACCATAACCGAGTTTTGTCGTCGAGTAGAGTATGTGGCCGAAGACCCTCAAGATAGATGGGAGGTAGCTACCAGTAGAATGGATAGGCGTGTTTCCACCATGGTCAAAACGATACGATACGAAGTCTTTAGTTAAGAGGTGAAAGAAGATTATTAGGGGTTGAAGGAAAAGTGGTGAAACTGAAATACAGTAGGAGTAGAAAGAATCTGGGCTCAACCAGATCGCTTCATCTTTCTTATTGGTGTTTTATCTTTGTTCTGCTCCCTTGGGTCGTCAGACCTTTGTATTAATATTGGTTTATTTATATAATGCTGCTTATTATTATTATTTTTAATTTTGTTGGAGTTAGTGAGCCCGCCCAGGTCCTTGTGTAACTGGGAGGGTAGTCACATTATTTTTTTTTTTTTTTTTTTTTTTGAGGTGTGTTAGTTAGTTGTGTTAGTCTAAAGGTACACTGTATGGAGAGGCCTGCCAGGTTCTTAGTGGAGCTGGTAGGTCACTCTCATCTTTTATTCTCTCTATTAATGTTTTATATGTATATTGGGGCAGGAGATGGTTCAATTACTTTCTTCCTGGCTGATTTAAACCAACTGTGTTCTTGGAATTCTTCGTTGTCTATATTATTTATCCAGTTTTGATATGTTTCTGTGTTAAGTTCAGTCACTTTTTTCCAAATATTTGCAGCTTTGTTGTGTATATCTACATTGATTGCTAAGAGGTTTGCTCTCTTGTGTAGCTGTTCATTATTGATGTGGTCTGTATATTTGATGTTATATATAAATCTGAGGGCTATATTTTGTACTGTTTGTAACCTTTTAATGCACGTTTTACTAAGGGTGTTCAATTGGATGGGTGGGTAATCCATAATTGATTTGACAAGGGCAATATAAATCTTTCTTTTGTTATTAATGCTAAGGTTCTTAAAGCGTTTTATTTTTGATAATCTTATTCTTGCCTGTCGTTCTTTATCTTTTAAGTATGTTATATATCCTCTTTTTGTTAGTTTTAATCCAAGCATCCTACCTTCAGTGTCGTATGGGTATAGTTCCTGGTGGACTATTACTGGACTTGTTTTAATCTTGGCTATTGGTATTATCTTGAATTTGTTCTTATTTGTCCTGATTTTCCATTTTTTCTCAAAATCATTTATGTTTTTTATCGCTCTTACCGTGTAGAGTGCCATAAATTGGGTTGATTTTCCTGGGTATGATACTATTTGAGTAATATCATCAGCAAACATTACATATTTGCTAAAGGGGGTAGGTTGAGGTGTGTCTGAAGTATAAATTGTATATATTGTTGGAGAAAGGCATCCTCCTTGAGGTACTCCACTCTCAAGATTAAACATAGTTCCCATAAAGTTTCCAATTTGAATTTGTGCTCTCCTATCATCTAAATAGTTACACAATATTCTTAGCAAGTATTCGTTAAGTCCCAGTTTTAATATTTTAAATTTTAAGCCTAAATGCCAAACTTTATCAAAAGCCTTAGAAACATCCCTTAAAATTATATTGATCTGGTTACCCTTGCTTTTTTCTATTGCAATTATTTCCGTTATTATAGCTATTGCAGTTAGGGTATTTCTATTGGGCATAAATCCACGTTGTCTGTTGTTAGTTTTCCCATGTTGTGTTAAAAAGGCTATAAGTCTTGAATTTAAAAATTTTTCCAATAGTTTCCCGGTAATTTCTAATAATGATATTGGCCTGTAGTTTAATATTTCCTTATTGTCCTTACCCTCCTTAGGAATAAATATCATTTTAGCATATTTTAGTTTGTCTGGAAAGTAACCAGTTATTAAGCATGCGTTATAAATGTTTAATAGTGTTTTTAAAATGTTTTCAGGTAGATTCATGATCATATTTCGTGTAATACCTGTGAGCCCGGGGGCTTTTTCCTTAAACTTCCTCAGACAGTGCATCATTTCTCCCATGGTTATTATTTGATTATTAGGTAATAAGTTATAGTCTATATATTGCCTTGGGGTGATTCTATGTATGTCTTCCCATTTTGTCTTCTATCCTTTCTTCGTGTTCACTATCAAAATCTTCATTTTCCTCATCTGACATTTTAAAAACTTTTACCCATTCCCTTTTGAATGCTGACTCTTGTTCATTTTCCTCGTGCAGTTTTGTTCCATTTTGGTCTTTAATGTATGGTGTTTTTTGCTTGTTGTGCCCCATCATCTTGTTTATGGAAGTCCAAAATGTTTTTGTGTCTTTAGTCATGTCAGCCACCATTATAATATCATTCCATTTTTTATTGTTTGCTTCCTTACATGCGTCTCTTAATTTTATCTGTAGTGCTGTCTGTGTCGTATATAGCCATCTGTTACTGCCGTGTCTTTCCATATACCTGTTTATTTCATTATAATGGGTCTGGATTAATTTAACTTCTTCTGGTAGTCTGTTGTTGGGTAATGTTCTAAAGTGTGAAGTAGGAGTGTGTTTGGTTATAGATGTTTTTATTGCTGAGTGCAGTCTGTCCATTTCTGAGTCTATGTCTTCTGTTGTTTTCCCTTGTAGGTTAATCGAGTGGTGATTACCTAAGTCGTCTTTGAAGCTGTCCCAGTCTGTTTTACTAATTTTCAGTCTCTTTTTTATTGGTATCTGTATGGGGCTTGTTGACAGTGTTAGTATAATTGGCAGATGGTCACTGCCTGTAAGAGGTCCTTGTATTATATGGTAATTGAAAAAGGCTTTGTTGTTGGTAAAATTTTGTCTGGTGTCGATTGTGTATTGTGATTTCTCCAGGTTGGAAAGTTAGGACCTAGATGATTGATTTTCCCTAGATTTATTAATTGATTAAGGGCGTTTCCCACGACGTTATTATTTGTATTGTCAAAAATCCTATGTCTGGCGTTAAAGTCTCCTAAGATGTACATCGGATGACTATTGTTAGCCAATTTTAATAGGTCTTCTATAGGTAAGTAGGGTCGTCTCGGTGGCAGATAAGTAGTAGCAATAATTACGTCTCCTTGAGTTGTATTTATTTTTATTGCTAGAAATTGATCCTGGAAGTCATCAATTAGTTTAAATTTTAAGTTTCTTTAAACCGCTATAGCTACTCCGTCATTTTTCTCGCCCGATTTATTTCTTTGGTTTACATAATAGTTAAAGAGTTTTATGTTGTTGTTTTCTGTCTCACTGTGACTGTTTATTAGTATAATGTCAGGGTCAATTTCTTGATATATATTACTTAGGTTAATTCTCTCGGTCTTCCAGTTTCTTACGTTGTGTTGTATTATTCTGAAAGTTCTTACTGTTTGTCTATTGTCCATTATTTCTTATACTTGGATTGTGACTGTTGGAGTGGAGACCTATCGTCCTGTTTCCCGCTTCTGACTCTTCTAAACTCTGACGGGTCTACTATTTTAAAGTCATTGGTCGTAATCTTCAGTTTGTCCGTAGTGATTAGTGACCAGACGTAATCTTCACTTAAGGATTTTTCTTGATTTGTCCACTTGTATATCCCTCCTTCACAGTTTTTTACTATTGTCCCTCCTGTTGGTCTCGATGTTGGGATTCCATGTTTTGTTGTAGTGATAACTTTTAATCCAATATCTTCAGCAGAGTCAGGTTGTATATTGTGATCAGTTTCCATCTTATCTTCTCTCCTCCTAATCCTTTGTCTTGTGGTCTGTCCTTTTGTTATTTCTATCTTCTCTTTGTCACTTCTAGTCATTTGTCTGGGATCTCTATCAGTCGCTTGTGTTCCTTGTGTATCAGCTGTTGCTCCTTGCTCAAACCTTTGTTTGTCTAGCTGTAGTCTTTCTCTCAGTTCGCTTGCATATGTTGCCTGAAATAGTTTTTCAGATTGTGGATTCTCTGGAAATATCATCTCTGGTAGGTTATTCAATTTAAACATTTTCCTTAATTCCTCATTGTATGATCCGGGTGCAATGATATTGTGCAAATGTGCATGAACCATACTAATCATTACCTTGTCATGTATTGGCTCACTTAAGTTTAATATGGTGGATTCTGGTCTGTGAGCCTCTTGGACCGCTCTCTTGGCTATTTCGACGTATGTCGTATCCTTCTTGTCTTGTTCCTTGTTTCTTGTTCCTTGTACTTTATCATGTGTTTTTTTATTGGGCATGCCATTGCTAACGTCCTGTGTCCTATGTATGCATTCCCGTTTCTCTTACAGTTGAGACAGCCAACATGTGTGTTCTTACATTCAGTGTAGGTATGGTCGTCGCCTGCACAATCTGAGCAGTACTTTTTTCTTTTTCTGGGCAGTCTCTCGTTGTGTGTTCTTCATATTTGTAGCAGGAGAAGCAAGTTTGCAGACTGATGAATGTTTCCTTCTTTATTTGATGAGGTGTTACTGACATGTTAAATATTAGAAAGCCCTGTTGTAAAACTTTTTCAGCCATTGAAACTTCTTCAAAGGTAATCTTAAAAACATGAGTGTAGTCTTTTATCTTAATGACTTCTTCGATCTTCATCCACCTGTTTTGGCGTTCCAGTTCATCTTTCAGGTCTTCAGATGTCTTCCTCCCGATCTCTTGGTCGACTTGACGAACGAAAACTGATCTTTTTGCTTTTTGCTCTGGTGGCATGACAACAACAAGGCCTTCATTGTAAAATACATCACTGGCTTCTTTTGAAAGGATTTTGTCTGAATCAAAGTCATCTTTACAGATTACTTTGAAACCTTCGTTGGTGCTGAATATTCTTGTTAGTGGGACTTGCAATTTGTTGTAAGTGATTTCTGCCACTTTTCCTCATCCAATAGAGTGTCCCTTATCTCTATGTTTTATTCTAATGCTTGTAGTCATCTTCCTTGATTACATTCTAATCCTACCTATAACACAGGGCTCCTGCCTGGGAGCAGTGACCCCGCCCCCCCCTCTTGGACGGGCGTCGGGCTCGTAGGGTTCTGCACCCAGGTTACCTGTGACTATAGTTATGTCTAAGAAAGTTGCCACCTACCGGTGACCCCCGGACAAGGGGTGCCCTGCACTATCACAGGTTCCCTTGCCGGATCGACCGTATCGCTAAGTCCCGCCTCCCGTTCAAAGAACGGAGTGCATGAGGGGGATGAAAAAAGGAAAGAAGAGGACTTAGAGAGTAGAGACAGTCTACCTACCACGCCACGTTCGGTTAGCCAATCAGAGCACCGCAGTAAACGTGCATGTATCACGCCACCGTGGGGCACCACTGATTGGCCAATCCAGGACGTAGACGCACGAGTAGT